TGAAATCTCAGATTCATCACGCTACCAGCGCCGCACCCGAAGTCAATCGGTTACTGTACGAGTCTCGGAAGACGCCCTTCACGGCTCGCATCACCGAGATCAAACTGCCCAATCCCGGAAAATTTAAGGTGCCAACCTACGACGGGACGTCCGATCCCAAAGCACACCTACAAGCATTCCAGATCACCATGGGACAAGCCAAGCTCAAGGACCACGAAAAGGACGCAGGCTACTGCCGCCTCTTCGTCGAAAACCTAGAAGGAGCAGCGCTCGAATGGTTCGCCAAACTTAGGCGAAATTCGATCGGAAGTTTCCGTCGACTGGCTACAGAATTCCTGAAGCAATACTCAATGTTCATTAACCCGGAAACCTCCGACCCCGACCTCTGGAGATTGGTGCAGAATGAGGACGAATCTCTCCGCGATTTCGTGAGTAGGTTCAAACTCGTCATGGCTAGGGTTAGCGGTATTAGCGACAAAGCCGCCATCGACGCGTTAAGGAAATCACTCTGGTATAAATCGAAATTCCGCAAGTGGATAACTCTCGAGAAACCGTGGACGATCCAGGATGCGCTCCATAAGGCCACTGACTTCATAACCATCGAAGAGGAGACTAAAATCCTGTCCGAGAAGCATAAGCCGACGAAAACATCTGCAAAAGATAACGCGTCCGAGCAGAAGCAGAAAAGGAGAAACTCTCGTAAAGACAAATTCGTCCATCACGAGGGTCAGGATCTCCAAGGGGCGCACAACTACGCCATCAACTCTGGATCGGAGCAAGGGCGAACCACGGGTAACACGTGGACGAGAAATTCGAATTACGATGAGAATTCTTTCTGTGACCTCCACCAAACCCGTGGGCATTCCACCGTGAACTGCAAAGTTCTCGGCGCCAGATTTGCCGCAAAATTGGTCACGGGAGAACTCTCCAAGATATCCAGTGTCAAGGATCTCATCCGCGATTCAGATCGCCTTCCGAAGAACGACAGGAACGCGCGAGCGGAAACTCCACCTCAGGGAAACCAGTCGGGCGAAAACAAGGACGAAGACAAGACGAAAAGGGTATTGGCGATTATGGGAGAGTTTCCATGTATGGAGAACTTCCATTTTAATCAAGGGTCGGTTTTGTAACAGGGGTCGGGCCCAGGGAACCTGAAGGCAGGGTTCGGGTCCCTGGGTTCCTTTGGAGCCGGGGTCTAGAGGCCGGTACCCATCCTGGGGACTAGAGGAATCTGGTGCCTGGATATTTTGCCCAACAAGTTTCACCAAGAGAATGATTAGGATCCCAGTGGACTTCCATTCTATGATGCTTATTGAATCCCTAGACGCTGAATGTTTTGTTCAGAGAAATAAGAGAAACTGTAGAAGACACTGAACGTATGTTCCATCAGATCAGAGAGAAGCTGAAGCAGGGGACTACATTGAAGAAGAAGAAGAAGAGTGATCTCTGTACCTTTTCTGATTGAAGGTCATAGCTACCCTAATGCTGTCTGCGACACAGTTTCTTCAGTAAGCATCATGCCAAGGTGAATAGCTGAGCAGCTAAATCTAAAGATAGAACCTTCAAGCGATTCATTCACCTTTGTGGATTGCTCTAAGGAAAATTCAGAAGGAATTGTCAGAAACCTTCAGGTACAGATCTGTAATTCCCTAGTTATAGTGGATTTTCATATCATGGATATTCAGATAAACTAGAACTGATCTCTTTTACTTGGGAGAGCTTTCATGGTCACTGTAGGAGTTGTTTGCGACATGAAGACAAACAAGTTATATCTTTCACTCATCAGTGAGACATATATCTATGACATTTTCAAGGTTGTCAAGGGAAACACACCATACACTGAGATAGGAGATGATTCAGGGGTGGTAGCTGTTTGCTATTCTGATTATGTTGCAGAGCACAAATTTTATGAGAGGCACATTCGATACTCAACCTTAGGCTTCGATCGGCAGTCAAGTTTTACCGGATTATCGAGAGTCGTTCTTGACTGAGACCATGATTCCAACTACGGAAACGGTCTATGCAGATGTGTTTAAGGAAGATAATGATGTACTGATCGAGAACTGGAACCCGCCATTCATGGACACCCCCTCAGTGTCCAAGAAGCCATCTTACATCGTCTCTTCCGCCACCTAAAAGTACATTTAGCAAGGAAGAAGTTGAAAAGATCCTCACATACCTTTTTGCAACCTGAGAAATGATATTTGACCAATTTTGCAGGAAGATCGATGATGATTATTTTCATTCATTTTGTTAACCCTATTGCAGAATTGGAAGGACGTATGGAGGAGCTACAACTAAAATTGGATTACACACATGAGATTATCCAGAGGCAGCAAGAGCACATAACAAAAAGAAGCCATCACTAGCTTTGTAGGCACATGGTTCGAGATGAAAAGAGAAGATCCGGATAGTTGTTTTCCTACAAGTGTTCCCTTACCTCCTTACTAGTCCAAATCATCCAAACGTTAAGCTGTAGACTATAAACAAGAACTTGATGGGAGGCAACTCATTTAGTAAAAGAAAAAAAGACCCGAGGAAGACGAGTCTGCATAGAGCATTGACTAGCAGTTGATCACTGCCGATTGAAAGACTTCACCGAGCATCGATCGATCGTCACTTAGTTGTGTCGATCAAAACTCATCATCAGTGAGAAGGTATACCGTTTTTCCTTATGATTTCTTTTTTCCACCAATATGAGGCTGAATAACACAGGGGGCAATGTTGTTTAAGTATGGGTAAGGTTTACTGATATTTTGTTTTCCTTCGATTATTATTTTTATGATTTTTATTATAACTTTCATTAAGTCAAGAAGGGGACTATGATAATTTTAAATTTTCTTACTATTTAACCACTCTATAGCATTATTCTTAGACTTACTAATTGAAGATTATACTTGATATACCAAAGTGGATCACCTTCCAGTCATATCCACACTTGCTAAGAGTGTTTATAGAAACCGAAGCTGACCTCCAACCTAATATTGACTTATTTGCTTGTCTTAGGGCTTGGTATACATCGGATCAGATTGGTTCCTTTTTCCCTCTCTGTCTCTCTCTCTCTCTTCGGTATCTAGCAAAGACAATATTTAGTAATTTCCTGATAGATGCAAAGCGGTAGGTAAATTACCTATGACCCAGTTATTCTAATTCATAAAGGAGTGAACACACATTATGGAATAGAGAGAGATAAATTCTCTGTGGTTCCATTATTCACCTACACTTTTAAAAAAAAAAGAAAGGAAAGAAATAAAATCAAAAAAAGAAAGAGAAAAAGAAAAGAAAAACATTTAGAGAAGGAAGAAAGATGGAAGAAAATAATATTAGAAGACTGTATGTGTGTTCATGTACTTGGTTGAGTAAGAGTTCACGTGATACTCCCAAGGTAAAGCATGCACCTTTTATTTATGTAAGAAATGAAGTTAGTAGAAGGGCGAGTCAGAAACCTATTGGTTAAGTTGCTCGTAGAATGGATTTGGTTGCTAAGTTAGGATATGATATATAAAGTATCTCTGAGCTTAGCCGTTATTTGATGTGGTTGCAATATAGTAGGACTGATAGTAATAAGTTAAGATTTGTGAGTTCATGCGTTTTAAACCTTTTTCAGATAGAGATATTTTTTGCTTGCTTGAGGACAAGTAAAAGAGTAAGTCTGGGGGAGTTGATATACTATGGATTGAACCTGTTTTACACATAATATATGTGCTTTTTAGGCACTATTATCTGTGTTTGAAGTCTATTTTCAGGTGCATGTATGTTTTGGAGAAATGTGAAAATTATGAAATATTTTAGGGGTTGATTATGAAGAGACTAGTAGCTACTGTAGAGCCACAAAACATAGTTGATATTTAGAAAGAATTTCGACTAACAACACCCTGTTGTGATCGATCAACAGCGAGACGGACCGACTTGTCGGTGACCGACCGAAAGACCAGAAATTCCACATATTTACAAGATTATCCTTGGCCGATTTTATACCTAGTATTATTTTTTTTTGGCATTTTTGGGCAACATGCCATATTCATTAACATATTCCATACTTAGAGGCTTTTAGATTATTTAGAGAGAAGATGCAAGACTCCTTCAGAGATTTATATTGGAACTCCAATGTTTTCTTACTCCTTATTTTATTTTATGATTTCTAGTCCGTTTATTATCATGTCTTGCTTGATCATGTTTGAGTATTTTACTTGTTAAATTTAGGGTTATTTAAGGTTATGAAGGCTTAGTAAAATCTATAGAATTGCTAAGGTGTTAGAAATATCCATCAATTGAATTGCTATTAATGTTTGTGTTCTATAGTAGCTAAGTAGAACCTTGAAAAATAATTCTCATGTTTGTTTTAGTAAAGTAATTAAAATGAACTTTTATATCCATTTCTAATGTAGTATTATTTAATAAATAACTCTTGAATACTCATAAATGCTCGTAAATAATTAACAAAATATTTGTAAATAATAAGTAAAAAAAAGAAAATAAATAACTAACAAGTAGCTCATTTTTATCAAGTACTTGAAATAGAAAGTACTTTTTTCTAACAAGTCAAGTAACAATTCAATTTAATTATTACTCGTTCAAAGAAAATCAAGTATGTATCTAGTACACCAAAAACAGTGACACTACAGAAAATGTGGATATTAATAGCGGTCATTAAATTCTATGAGTTATATATAAAGCGTGTCTTTAACCGACTGACAGTGCCGCTATAATAGGTCTGGCAATTTCAATAGTGGATTATTGCTATGATATATTAAATATACAACAATAGCGTTATTTTTTACGTAATTTTTAATATTTATAATAATGTGAAACAAATGTTATTAAATTTTCCTAATTTAATTTTACCTAAAGCAAAGATAGAAAATGTTGTGTGTTATTAATTAGTTTTCCATTATCCAAAAGTTTATTAAAAATAATTGCGAATTGATTTTATTTTTCAAATGAAATATTTATTTCAAATATGTATAATTAAAAAAAATTGGTAAGAAATCCAATAAATATTAAATTATATAACCCATAAAACATTTTATTTCAGCTTCTTGTTTTACAGCATCCAATCTAAGTTTCTCTTCTCTTTTTTCGGCTTCTTTTTGTTGTCTCTCTTCTCTTTGTTGTATGGTACTAAGGATCTTATTGCTCACAGCTAAAATGGAATCATTGTTATCATTCTTCAGCTTCTCTGAATTATAGCATTCTTCAGTTCTGGACCTCTTTATTGGGATCAGTTTTTCTGGATGACCTTTCAGATTTTGTTTTGAAACAAAAGCCACATCAATAACGTCATCACTTATTTCAACGAAGTTTTCTTTCACTTGATTATCACCAACAAGGTAAGCACTAGCATCTGTGGTATTACTTAGTCCCAGTGAAGTGTCACCATTAGCGGTTGTACCATCAAATATAATCTTCAAATCTTCAAACTGTTCATGTGAATCATAGCGCATAAATTGATGGTTTGGATGTACCTGTCATTTTTCTATAAACATATATAAGAAATACAGTTATGAAATTTTACAGTATCAAAACTTTTATATAAAATAAAAAGTACCATCAAATATCTTTGCCACACTTCTTCAGAAGCTGTAAATCTTTTTGTTTCAAAATCGTAACCAAATCAAGAGCTATTACGTTTAATATCAACATAACTATTGTATAGGTTAAAGTTTATTCTACTTTGATAGTGCTGGTGGAGCTTCTGGCATCCAAATCTTTAATTGAGGACTGGTAGTATTTATTTTTTTACTGTTGCCTTGTTTATCATACTACTAGAATCACACCATCCACAATTAATTCCCACCATAAGTAATTCAATCAATAAATACTACAGTAATCTTATTCAAGAACTAACTATAGTTAGTATAAATAATTAACAATCGTATTAAAATCATTCAAACTGAAAAAACTGAAAAGTGAAAACAATAACATAAGCTAGCAAAAATCAAATGACGAAAGTTATCAGAAGAAGTCAAAACACGAAGCAATACGTAGAATACTAGTACACAAATCTATTGTATGTGGTCAGCAATGGTAGCTGGAAAACAATTTTATTCTAGTGAAAACACATGGAAAAAATTGCACCCAGTAGCTAATAAAATATTTATAATTCACCATATGACCAAAAGTCCTACATTTCCTATACAATGTGTATTTTCCATATAATTCTCCTTTTGCATTAAACTGGTGTAACCTGTTGAAAGAAAATTAATAACTATCCATAGTTTATAAAGTTACAAGTTTTTCTTGTGACTCCCACACTTTTTCTAGTAATTTTTTCTCTGTAACTTAATGGGAAGATAAACAGTTGAGTCCAATTTTCTCACCATTTCGCAAATCTTTCTCCCATCCAAGCGTAGATTTCAGTTTCTTCACAGGCGAAACAATATTTCATTGTCATTGTGTCTCTTTTACAGTTTCCGATTGCCACATATTTGAAACCGACGATAGAGTTGGATCCGAGCCTTCAGACGGCGCTTTCAAATTCAAAGTCTCATCACCTTTCGACAATCGTAAACCTTGCCATATGTTTTTTTTATTCAATACTCTTATATAAAATTTTTAGTAGAGCATTTGCATTCATAATTTATAAAAATAACAAAAAAATAGAATTAGTTTATTTTATTTAATAATATCATACAGTTATGTTTTATCCTAAAATAAAATTTCTTTTTATATAAAATATCTAATTAAATTATATTTAAATGTGAAATATATTTTTAAAACAATGAAAATATTTTAATTGTAAAAACTATTATAAGAATATAAATTCAATTTGTATATATTAACTTAGTTTTTGATATTATTATATAAACTAAACTAATTATATATTTTATAAATTTCATATATTAATATATAAATATATATATAAATATATTATATACTAATTTTATGATAATTTTAAATAGTATGTTGCTATACCTACCAATTGTTTTATTAAACCGTTAAATGAAAACATACAACTTCTATGGCATACATCTATTGCTTTATCATAAGCTTCTCCAATCAAAGTCTTAGTAAAAAGTATAGAAGCGCTTGCTTATATATCTTCCTACACCATGAAGTACTGAAGCGATGAGGACATTGCTTCATCTCGCATTGCACCATGGTGAGGTAAGCGAGTGCTTACGACCTAAAACAAAGGCTTGCAAAGTGCTTTGAAAATGCTTATTCGAATTGAACAAAACAAAGAAGGAAACAACAGAAAACAAAAGGGAAACGATTTGGCTATTCAAAAAAAAAAATCACTGTAAAGGAAATCCCACTTACCTTACTTGACTTGGTCTATGATGAATTATTTGACTAAGCATGCACCTAAACCTCTTGATGTCTTGATTCTTGATCAAGGTTAAATCTATTTTTGGTAAGGCTGGACCAAATCTATGGCAAACAAGATGAGACTTTTGCAGGAGGAATCATGGCTTGAATGCTATATTATTTCGTATATAATTTTATTCTGTTATCGCATACTGTGATGCTATGTCGAAACTGTGATATACTATTTGAATGCTATACTATTTGAATACAATACTATTTGAGTAATTTTTCTATTCTATTAATTTGTTGTTCTATTTGGCATTCCATATACGGAGATATGAAGTTACGAAAAAACTCGTATCAAAGTACGGAACAACTATAAAGACCTCATAAGATTTAAACAAGAGAGTAAGTATGCCTCACAAGGATCATCCAATCCTGGAACAAGTACTTTCGAACTCAAGAACAAATCAAACAATCAAAACACCGGAAAACGCTTACGAAATGTTGGATACATGACCTCTAACTCGCCATCAGGTGAGTTGGGTCTAACCGACCAACTCCCCCACTGGCGAGTTGGACACAACGTCCAACTCGCCACTGCGAAAGTTGGGCCATACAGTCCAACTCGCCCGGTGGCGAGTTGAACGCCTCATCCAACTTGCCACCGGGCTAGTTGGATTACTCCATCCAACTCTCCCGGTGGCGAGTTTAACATCTTGTTCAACTAGCCCGGTGGCGATTTGAACGCCTCATCCTACTCTCCACCGGGCGAGTTGGACCGTACTATCCAACTCACCCAGTGGCGAGTAGGATATTAGGGTTTTTGGTTGCTAGAGTTGTGTATATTGCTTACAGCTCTTGAGGCCGCATCTTTTATAATCTCTTGTAATGATCGTAACTCTCTTACGCGGATTTGAAATAAGTTCTATTGTTTTCTTTAGATACGTTTTGTTATCTTGTCAAATTTTTTGCATCAATTTGGTCACTTGTTGTTGGCTCTCGCAGAGAATCCGGGACCTCTGGTAAATTAGAGTTTTCCTAATTCAACGGAAATCGACAGTGCGAATTTTTGTTCTCACATCTACTGCTAATCCTCTTCACCCCTCTTACTGTTTATTAGGTCCAGTATACACAAGTGGAAATGATCATTCTTCTTAATTATTAGCTAGCCATTGAACAATTGCCAACAGACAACTCGGCCTTCTAGGGACCTGAAACAAATGAGACAGTACCACCTTAGTTTGAAATGGCACATGGCTAGGTGAGGCAGTATGTGTCTTGCCTCTCACCTTACGCCATGGCGACCGCTTTGTGTATGAAAGCAGAAAATGGTAATGCATAAACATAGATCTCAGTAATATAGACGTTGAAACCAAAACACAAAACAAAGAGTAATAACAGATGAGAAGAATCGCAAAAACTATAGATATGAAGTGACGTGAACAGAGAGAACAATACCAGAAAACAGTCAAACACTAACTTTTAAGTTTAGGGTGTGTTTAAAACAAAACAAAAAAAGCTTAGGGTATGTGTATTTAGGGTCTATAATCGGTTTAATACTCCAATTTTGGACAAACTAAAATGGTTTGGCTCATTATCAGTAAAATGTCACTTTATACCCCTTAGGCAAACTTCGATTGGCAGAACATTAGCATAATTATTATGGTCCACATTTTTCAACAACATTTGTTAGAAAAAGCATTTACAAAAGCAATTACCAAATGCTGGTCCTCTACCTTCTTTTCATGTTCAGTTTGTGAGAAGATATGAACCTTTCTTTTTCATGTTGCTTTTTACGCTTGTTGTTCTTCCGAGATGAGACACCTATTAGAACAGAGGAGACCCCTAATTGTATTCCATTACTCATACTCTGTTATATTTCTCTACTAGGATAATTGAAAGGTTCTCTTAGGTTGACTCTGCATTATATGAGTTGACACTCAAAACACTTGGCTCTATCATACTCTGAACCACGATCAGACTGTCCCTTGTTTTGTCTAGATCGGAGTTACCATTGGAAATTTATGACAAAAACCGCAAACACTTGTTTTATCGTATAAGTTCAAGTTGATCGTATAAAACAGCAATAGTTAGCATAAAAACGTTTTCCTCAACTATACGATTAACATGAACTTTTTTAATAAAAAAACGGCGTTGTATCAAGGACGATTTCTTTAAAAAAGCGAAAAATGCTTAAAATCGTAAAATGGCCTGAAAGGTTCTAATACACGATAAAATCCCTGCTTACGATTTTAAATGAAGTATAGCCCAATAATATCATGACGGTGTTGGATAAGCTTGAATAAGTTACTTGTTTCTACTGAGATATGGATTGAGAAACAAGGATAAGTCCTAGATATTTAGGAGTTATCTAAATATCATATGTTTTAGGTAATTAGGACTTTTATGTTTCATTAAAATAGAGATGTCAAAGTGTGGCAACCTATAAGTGTTGTGAGCTTTAGTTTTGAGAGGATTTTCTAAAGCATTAAGTTATTAATAAAGAGAGGTTTATTGATCTTTTTGAGTTACATACTTTTGATTTTTACACGTGGTATCGGAGCTTGATCAGCGTTCAATCACAAGAAGACAATCGATGGGAGACATAATACCAATCTCAATGAAGCTGAAGGAAAGCGGACCGCCATCCTTTAAGTGCCCTATGTTGAATTCAACAAACTACACAGTATGGGCGATTAGGATCAAGGTTTTGTTCAAACTTCACAAAGTATGGGATGTTATTGAGACAGAAACTGATGATGTAGAAAAGAATAATGTCGCGATTGAATTACTCTTCCAATCTATTCCCGAAAGACTTATATTGCAGGTGGGAGAGTTTGACACCGCAAAGAAGATTTGGGAAGCAGTGAAATCAAGACATATGGGAGCAGAAAGAGTTAGAGAAGCTCGACTACAAACTCTCATGTCAGAATTTGATAGGCTGAGAATGAAAGAAGAAGAAAAGATCGACGAGTTTGTGGGAAAGATAGCTGAGATATCGTTGAAATCAGCTGGTCTTGGAGAAACTATTGAAGAAACAAAGTTAGTGAAGAAGTTTCTTTCAGGTCTTCCTCGACAGAAATATATACACATTGTAGCCTCACTGGAACAAGTCCTTGACCTTAAGACTACGAGTTTTGAAGAAATCATTGGACGCATTAAGACCTATGAAGAATGAGTTGCTTTAGATGAAGATGAAACACAAGAGAAT